TATATGCATTGTACAATATAGAGATAAAGCAAGACAATAAATGTAATAATACAGTTGTATAAGTACGGTAAGGTGGTTTTATTGCTGAAAACAATTTTTAAATATTCAAATTTTCTCATAAATAAAATAAGATTTTTGCATACAAAATACATAAAAATAAAGTTAATACATTGTTTAACTAATATAATAAAAAATAATCATAAGAAAAAATAAAAAAAAACTACAAAAAAAAAAATACTCGTAATATATAAAAGTTGTATAAATTTCGTCGCGCTACTCAACGAACATGAAAATCGTCATTTTGTATTGTGTTTTAGGCCCATTAATTGAAAGCTTAGACACGAACTTTAATGTAGTTTCACGATACATTCGTGAAAGATACCACCTTGTGTTAATGCGAATCTTCGATAAAATATACACTCAATTCGTTCTAAAGTAAAAATAGCATCCCCAGATGTTACGGGTTGATTAAATACCACCCCGCCGTTTGATGGACGCGTTTCGCGCCCCCTATCGTGTGCCACTCAGTAATTTCGGTGCCTGTGTTATTCGTGCGTGCCGAAAATATCAGATCCAATAATGATAAAATACCCTACGTACTAGTTGCAAACATGCCCAATAAGGAAACTTTGTGCGTTAGATTGTGACGTTCGTGTATAATTGGTGTCCTTGATTGTATAGCAGTTTCATACGCTATCTTGTCTTTCAATAGTTGCAAATTTGATTCCCTTTAAATGCATTGCTGTATGAAATGGGCCATTAAGGGACGTAAGAGGAGCCTAAGGGAATTAAATAATCAGGAGATGGGCAGCAGCGTCGCTCTTAAAACATCCCCACAACCTAACTAAGGTTGCTAACCCGCCCACAAAGCGTGGTAACTACTGACAAAACTTCCCAATAGGAGGAGGCCTATGTTCAACAGTGGACAGTTAATAGCTGAAACGATTAATATAAAATACCTTACATTTCATTTATGAAATATATTCGCTGCCTTTTTGAAAAACGTTGTTGTGTGTAGTCTCTAGGGAAAAATTCGGCATTCTGCCAATATTAATTTACATTTTAAAATTATAATAAAAAAAATGTTCTTGATACAAATATTTTAATTTTTTATATCATTATATTTTTTTATAGTTTTTAACTTCATTTGACTCATCTCATGTAGAACAATACATTCCGATAACTAAATGAGTGATAATTTAAATATAAAATTAGAATGATCAAATTCTGATTAATTGCAATATGAATCGTGACAGGTTTGAACATTGTTTCTGTTTGATCTAATATTAGATAACAGTAGTGTATTACAACTGTCTTAATAGACTGTAGTAGACAATGGTTTGTTTGCTCGATTGCCTCAGTTACCCCGCGTGTTGCTGATAGCCTAACAATTACGCCCACACGCAAACGTATTGGTACCTAGACCAGTTCCGTGCTTGTACAAATGTAGGGTATTAAAATTTCTTGTATGAATTGTCGTGTGGTATTAACAACTCCTCCTAATTATATCGTTACTAGCTTTTACCCGCGACTTTGTTCACGTGAACAGAATATGTTTTGTAACCGGGACAAAAAGTAGTCTAAATCTTTCTCCATATAGTATGTGTCTATCAAATTTCATAAAGATTGTTTAAGCCGTTAAGGTGCTAAACATTTATTTAAGACTGACTATTAACTTATATTTAAGATTTTTCAGCTCATAAATCCTTTGAAAATAAATGTTCAGTTTTACTTAGAGAAGAAAAGAAAGAAAAAATAATGGTGTTTCTAATTCTACTATTCTTATGCTATTTTAAATCCATATATACTAATATTATAAAGAGGAATGATTTGATTGTTTGTTAGTAATAGATAAACTCAAAAACTACTTAACCAATTTTAACTTAACAATGTGAATGTGGCATTGTTTGTTACATTTTGATATCCTGACAACTCAACGATCATCTTGACTCCTTATATAATGTTATATTCACAGATAGTGCAATGCAAAAATAATTTATAATTACTTCGGGGAAAAGAGATTGTTAGCGATGGGGTCAAACAGCCTCATTGCTAGTAATGTTACTAATCAGGTAGACCTCCATGTGGTTCTCTCTGGAAACCATCGTGGTTACTTCTCGTGGAATTCTTCACGATGGACTAACTGACCTATCTTTTCATTCTCTCCTATCATCTGTCATTGGTGCCCCGCCAGCTTATACCGTTAGTGCAGGCGGGGTTACTATTTCATTATCACCCATTTAAAAATTATAATATCACTTAAACTGTATTCCAGTATCAGCCTGTGGTATTAAATTAATATTCGTTTATATTATAAAATCTTACATTAAAAATTTTAGACTAATTTCAGACTTTAACGTAAGTAATCTCTAAAAAGTTCCATTCCAGATATTACTAGATACTATAATAAATTTAGAATATAATACCCCTACTGTATAAGTCTCGTTTCTGGGTCGTAAATCAAATTAATATGAGATTTTAACGATCATATAACAGCTGTCCATGGAACTTCTCGATCTCACTGAACATCTTTAGATTTAGCGAAGCGAAATGATGCTTATACAAACTTCAAAGGCTTACAGAAATATACCGATAATATTTTGGTTATAAAAATAATTTTTGAATTATAAATCTCATTTTTATTAATTTAATTATATATATCATCATATCGACCGTTAACTATCTACTGCTTAACATAGAACAATTGGAAGGTTTTGCCAGTAGTGCCACGTTTGGCAGGCGGGTTGGCAACAGCAGTTAGGCTTTAGTAATGTTTTAAGAGGGATATTGCTGCCCATCCCTCGATCATTAAGTGCATTTAGTCGCCTCTTACGACACCTATGGGAAAGGAAGGGCTGGCCCATTTTATACCGAGACTATACGGCGAATAAATATACCTGATATAATAAAATTGTATTTAGACGATATCTGTATATGGAAGATATTTAATAAAAAAATAATATAGGTCATAATAAGACTAATAAATGTCAAAACAATATTTTATAGAAATGTTGTCTGTCTGTCTAAATATTGGTTCACGCATCGCACAAAATGTAATTGATTACTTCGAAATATCTGGATTACTTCTATGATTTTCACAATTCATTGTACTTACATGCAATTTACTTGCTAGTTAAAGTCATATTGCTGAAAATACTAGCAATCGATGTATTGCAAGAGAGTCAGGGTGTCTTACCTTTGGTAGTCAATAGTGAACAAACGAATGATAGTAATGATATACATACATATATTTAAATAAATATGTTCTCGTATATTAATAAAAATGTACGTACTGTCGTCGATATATCTAATATTGATCACTATCATCATCATCATTTCAGCCATTATCCGTCCACTGCTGGACATAGGCCTCCCCTTGATTGATTTTTATATAAAGTTTTATTTTTAGGTGTTATTATTTTATATAAAAAAAAAAAACTCAATTCATAATATTATGTGTAAATAGTTTTATCAATTGTTGAGAGAGAACATTTAATATTTCCCTCCAACGAAATACCCGATGTAGCATGTAAATAAGTCTTTACGAATTAGGAAACACATCTTTCATCTCGCTCCAGCCCGATTAGATATTCATAAGGCGCGCCTCGGCCCTTCCCTTCGTTCTTGTTTTCCACTTTCTTCCAACATTTTTTTTTTCTGTTAGGTGCTTTTATGTGTAAACAAAAAGTTTTCTCGAAAGCAGAATGAATCTATAATACATTATTTGCTCGTTAAAATTTTGTTTACGTTTCTACTTTTAATACTATAAATATCTTTTTATAAACGTGATCTATCATCCGGTTAACACTTATTTGAGTGCTCATGATATCTTACGAAAATGGAAAGTTAGAAATTTATATATATATATATATATATATATATATATATATATATATATATATATATATATATATATATATATATATATATATATATATATATATATATATATATATATATATATCACGTTATATATATATATATATATATATAATAGTAATATATTTATTTCGTATAATAAAATATATATTAGTGTTTTTGTATAATATCTCACGAATTAAAATGATTATAGAGACGACATGAAAGTAAAACAAACTATCATATACGACCAATGAAGAAAAAATTTAATCGAAGCAAAACCCACTCACCTTGTTGTTGGCTCATGGCCATCCAGGTCAGCATCGTCTATTCTAAGTTGAGAATTTACGATCCTATTATAAAGTATGATACAAAATGATGAAATTTCGTCTGAATATTAATAATAAATAATTCTCAATCAGTAAAAATTAAAGATTACAATTTTAACCGATTACGCAAGTAGGTGAAATTTACATGCGCTTTTCACGATGTGATTATGTTGCCATAATGCGTTTAATAAACAGACCCAGTGAGTCTATCTACCTTTACTGGCTTGTACGAAAAATAAAAAATAATGTTTAAGTACGTGAGGCTACCCTATGAGCGAAACTGTTGATAATGATTATATTGTAAGAACTCAATCTAAGATCAAGGCGACGGATGCAAAATTTTTCTTCATCTTAAATACTACGTTTGTATGTACTTCATCTAACAGTTAACACATCTAAAGACAACAAATATTAAAATAAAAAATACTATTTTATTTCTAACAATACTTATTGTAGTTTTTGTAATTGATTTTGTTAGAGTTCTAATTGTACCTGATAAAGATTAAATAGTTTTTAATGGAATATTGCACAATTCGACGCTTAATACTTTCATAAGTACCCAATAATTGGTAGCTCACTAAAAATAAATCCAATTCATTGAGTTTCAATTAACAATTATCAATTTAAAGCTAATATTTGTATTTTATTATCACTGCATTTTGTTTTAAAATAGTTATACGAGAAAAGAATAACTATTTTAAAACATCATGAAATAAAATAAGTCGTTATTTTCGTGTAACTTCTTCTGTTTCCCGTTCATTTATCTTCATTCTTATTTTAAATGATGCAAAGTTTCGTGTAAAAGAAAGGCAATTCTTTTTTAAAACTTTATTGTTTCTTTATAATGTTTATTACACATGTAATTTATATTGCGCGACGTATCGCATCATCAGGTATCATAATACATACAACAAGTTTTAATACTATTGTTACTTGTATACAATAATAAACTTTTGACATAATAATAACTGGTTATATTAATCGAGATCTGTCACTTTAATACCCTAATTCAAGTAAAACACTTCAGTGAAATAGTTTTTAGTTTCGTAGTTATTATACACCGAGTTATATGATTGTAAAGAAATGTCGGACAGCTTGTGTTATTTACAATAAATAATAAACAAACGGTATATATATTTATTTTCATTTTTTAACGACAGCATCTGTCTTGAAAGCACTTCAATAATATATTCAATCTCATTACGTAGATGAGATTTCTTGCGATAAAACTGGGACGGGGGACCTCTAGCTTTACAATTAACTAATATAATTAATTCATTTATAAATATAAAAATTAACGTATAAAATTAATAAATGACTATTATTTATATTATTATTAAATTAAAAATATTAAAGAATAAATACAACCGAAATATTAGGATTATAAACTCTTCATTTACCTAATATTGGAAAGTTCATGCATCAGGAAGAACATTTAAATACAAACAACGTGTAATTTCAAATCAGATTCTTTTCTAACTAGTCTGTAAAATTTATATCATCCATTCCTAATTTTATGCTTATATAGATGATCTAGTCTGTATTTAGTAATATTTTAATTACAAAGAGGAATTTATTAACAGGTTTCCATGCGTTTTTCACATCAAAGTCATTAACAATACTGCAATTTTCAGTTTGTGTCATTAAAGTCATTTGTAAGCCTTGCTTGGTTTTGTCCACAAACTATTTTATCGAACAATCTATATAGATGTTATCACTGAATAAGAGTCTATCCTCTTCGGGTTTCTTAGAAACCTGTAAAAGTCCTCTAAATACAGTATTTACAAAATTATTAATACTACTAATACTTACTTACAATTTACATTTTTATTACAGTACGATATAGCTAGATAGAGTGATTCGTATATCTTTACTCGTAATTAAAATATATACAGTCCTTGTATTTTCTAAACATTTGTGTTTTAACGTAGTATTGTCAGCTGTTTATACATTCCTGTGTACATCTTTGTTTCTTTCAATGTTTATATAACTTTCCTCTTTCTTGTTTTCTAATACATTTTCTATTATAACAAGAGGAGTATGAGCCGATGTTTCTGCCAAAGCAAATTTAAATTCCGTAAGAAATATATCGAATTGATTTATTTATTTTTTTTATTAAATTTAATATTATTTTTTCTAGCTATACATTTTCACAGACTTTAATGAGGACTCATAATTTGGAGCTAGGAAACTTAATAGTGACCAATTAAAAGTTAATATTTTCACAAAACTAAATATACAATATTAAATGCGTAATTGCGTTATAGTACACTATATACAAGTCTATACGAAATAAGCATTCCAGCTACCTGCTCAGGGATTTATTAAATTTATATTTTACATAACACAACCCACACTATAAAATAGCGAGTAATTAGTTTCAACTTCTTACAATGACACTTGTGTTGCATTTAATATTCAATGGCAATTCTGTTCATCAGTTAATCACAAGTGCTATTATAAGTAGCTGTGAACTATAAAATTCTCATATTTACATAGATGCAATTCTTGGTAGATGTCAAGAAAGCGTTATGAAGAGTGACGCAGCCAGGACTAGGCAGTGAGTTGGAGAAGTAGGTGCGAATGCCTGTCCACCTCGTTGCATTGCAGCCGGATACTCACCTGACAAAGGAAAAATCGAATTTGCTTCTTTGGCAAAAATTAAAACTGCTCTCGACAGTATTCTTACAATTCTTTTGAAAATAGAATGTAGAATAAGTAAGTATGGAAAGAGATATTTTGATATCACAATAAAATACAATACCGCACGTTAGTATGACATCTGAACATAATACAGGTACATATTTAAACACATATCCATCATATTTTTTAACGGCGATAATAAATTAACAAGAATTGTTATGGTATCATTTGTTGAAAGCCTGTCTGCTCGCAAAATGGCAAATAAAAGCCAAAACATATAAACACATAAGTATAAAAATTTATGGTGTTCCCCTGCGACAGGCGTAGCTAATTATAACAGTGTTGCGAATAAAAATTATTAACGCACCCATTTACGACAACCGTTTCATTAATTTGATTTATTGTTATCATTGCTTTAATGATAATGGTCCTTATTCAGAATTTTTCTTCTTCCCTTGGATTTTTAAAAATGTATTTCCTTTCCGCTATCTCACTAAGCTCGTTTGTCAACCAGATTGGGATGTCTTTAAAGAATAGCGCTGTCGAGAAATTTAAAAGATTGCAGATTTAATTGATGATTCTTGTATACCAGATCAGAAATCTTGTATTCTTGTATGTATGTATTGATAAATTTAAATTTATCGTCCCAGAAGATGATCATTTTCTTCAGAAAGAGTGTTTTACCAGCAAAATCAAACATTTCCACCAAAGAAACATTTTTTTTTTATAGTAATATGGTAGCAAACAAGCATACGATCCATCCGATGGTAAATCGGGTTACCGTAGCCTATGAACGCCTGTTGGGTTGGCAGGTTTATGTTCAGAAGTAGACAGATAATGTTTTATGTGATGATAATGAAGGTAAGCATAGGTTGAAAAATGCCAAAAAATATGAATCTCCCATGCTCTCACATTCAGCTGTACAGTTAGTAAGGGAGATTTAAAATTATTTGTATTTTTTTATTATTTGATTCACAAAATTGTTGTCCTAATAACATGAGTATTATGGTTTCGAATTCATATATACAGGATACAAAGAAAATGAAATATTCTTCAACATTCTGTATAACGAATTGTTGAAAGTTATGCTCACTTAAACAATAATGAGTGCAGCTTTTGCGGAGCGTCCATAAAATAATTTTAACAAACGGATGTATTCTCGTTAATTGTCCAAGAGAAAGCGACAATGTGGTGTTTAGCAAAATTAAAACAATTGTATGCTTGGAAAATTTGGCCAAGGTCAAATCGTGTAAAATGTTAATATTTTCAGTATTACAATGCTAATTTGAGGACAACTTAACGACTACTCGTACCAAGGATAAAATCTAAATAATTAATTTGAATTTATGCTATATAAAATAAAATACCATAAGTTATTAATTTGAATTTCGAAGACTATAATATAGTTTGTAATAAGGTTATGATTCTTTCCGTTTCATTTTAGCCGTTAACTGTCTACATACTACTTTTTTTATACTGCTATGGTAGCAAATAAACATACGGCCCGTCTGATAGTAAACGGGTTTAATGAAGTCGATACGCCAGTAACACCAGGGATATCACGCGCCCGTGATAAGGAGCGCTCCCAAGTTTCACTGGCATTTGAGGTCATCACTCCGTCTAGAGGGGGATAGTTTGTTTGTTTGTAACACTTTATCATTACTTTCGTCTTACACATTTGTTTTTCTTTTTTTTTTATTAATATTAAATATTGTTTTTTTTTTTTTGTAAAGACGTTTAATTTTAAAATATAAAAATATAATTATTAAGATTACGAATACTCTTTGTAAAAGATGTGAGAATTGTTATTTTTGTTTGTAGTTTAGTTAAATGCGTCTTAAATACATTTTAATTATTGGTTATCGCTTCCGGAAACAAATGTTAGAAATATGTAACCGAGACGTAACATGGTATTATTCACGACATAAAAGCATGTTTCACAAAATTGTTAGATCTGTGTTAATATACATAGTCTATTTCAATAGAACATTAGTTTTGTTAGAAAAGGCAACAAATTTTTGTTGAAATTATCACAGAAACAGCCTCTAAATTAATCTGTAGGAATTAAACTTTTATTGTATAATTTTAAATTGTTTTTAATCTTAAAAATGTAGACAGCACAATGTGTAGCGTTTTATAGTTAATGGAGGTGTGGTTGAAACCCGGTGACAGTGTTGCCACATTTACAACGATGTTTACATATTAAAATACCTATTCTGTTAAAATTATTTATGTATGTTAAGATGAAATATAATTTTGGATTTTAACACAATCAATGAATTAATTTTTTAATTGTATTGTCAGATCAATATTCGTTTATTTACTTTATTATTTAGTTTTTTTTTTAAATAAATTATATCTTGTTACATTTAAAGTAAAAAAAAAATAGTACTATCATATACATAGTCAGCTTACGTGTTTATTGAATACACATATATTTTAGTTTTATAGAATTATTAATTTTTAGTTGCATGTTCTACATTTAACTTTCGTAACGTTCGTAAACAAATTGCTTTCAGTAACATTGTTATTCGTTTGTCCGTCTTTATACCTATTTAATTATATCTCTTTCCATAATAAACATTATAATGATCGGAATCTCCATTATAAAGTGTATCATACTCACCATTGAGTACATGTACTACAACGCTCTTGGACTGCGCATTGCTTGGGTTACACTGGTAGGTCCCTGAATCCGAAGGCCTGGCTTGCTGGATGAGGAGGAATGATGTAGTTGTCTCCCCCTTTTCTGTCACCACCGAGACACCGCCTCGTGGGGAATCGTAGCTTATAATCTGTTTAGTTAATTTAATATTATAATTTCTGGTAATACTACATTCCAAGGGTGGGGGAAAGGAATTGTTGGTAATAGGGTTTTAATACCCAATAGTTAGCAAGTCGGCATAGACTAACCCCCAGATTAGTTGGCCTGGTCTCCCACTATTCAACGAAATTTCAAATTTTTGGACTAAATTTTGTATTTTCCTTCATACTGAAATCGACTCAATAAATTGAGCTTAACATTTCGTTCGTCATTAGTCCTACTATAAAAGTCCATAGGAACGATATTTTATCATTTCAAATATTTTTAAATGCATGTATTATGTAATTTTAACAATAAATTTGTGTTTCGTTCGGTCCCAAAATTTCCGAAAATATTTCATGGTAGACCCTCTGCTTTATCTTCATCTATCATCCCCCACTTGTGCCTCGCCGGTATACTGATAGCGCAAGCCGAGTCACTATTTTATTTTCATTCATCAAAAAAACACTATGGTATTAAATTTAATTGTAAATATATAGTTAATTGATTAACTACATTGTTAAAAATGAGTGAAAGTAGAGAACGAGCTCAATATGTTCTAATGGTGTTTACCTGGATATTGAGAATTTATATTGAGTAGCCATCAATTTCTCTTACTTCAGTACTTTTAGATAAAGAGTTGAAAATTTTATTACTAATTGTACTCATTATAAACATTAAAATACTAATGTTTTTACTGTCAGAGATAAACAGTTGTTGAGTAATTAAAAAATATTAGTTGCTATTTACAAAGTTTTGTATTTATGTGTTTTATTAAAGTGAGATATTATCTAAAATCCTTCTGCATGGGTACCTCTGCCATACTTGAGATTCTGCAGCTGTGTTTTGGTTTGAAGGTTGGATATGACATTGAAAGTACACCCAACAGGTATTATTTCAATGTTATATGGTATTACATGAAGACACTATGGGTGTGATAGTATATTCTATAATGTCCTTAACATTTTGCATCAAGTAATCTGTCAATCTATTTCTTATTCAGAGTTGTAAAAAATTGCAATTATTTTTTTTATAAAAAAAAATATAATAATTACCGCGTCATTATGGTTCCAAAAAATATACGCTGGTGGTTCTGGTGAGTAGAGTACCACACAGGTTAAGTTTATAGTGCTGCCCCTATCGATGTAGAGGTCTGGACCACCGATGATTTCGGTGGTAGGTTCTAGAAAAGAAAAAAAAAAACAATTATTAAATATATATAATTTAAAGAATTTACGTAATGTCTTACATTTTAATAGTCGAGGCTTCGATCACAACAATAATAGCTTATTATAAATGATTTACTTATAGAGTCTGTTTTAACTGGCCTTTTTTATTACGTTGTATATCTTTGGCAATTTATGGGGATGCCTATCTAAATTATTATGGTAATATTGTCTATTAGTTATTTTAGTACCCACAGTATAATTATTTTATACATATATTAAAAGGTAGTCATCTTTTTAACACAACTATTGTTATTTGTTCTTTTTGAAATATGTATTAAGAATTTTCAAATTTGTCAGTTGACGCTAGTTTGGTATTATAGACTAGCGATCCGCCATAATCTCACACAGTTCTTTTTTATTTTCTTGAGTTTATTCATATTGAACAAAATCTCTTTATGATATAAGTTTATATGTGAAAGTCTGTATATATGCTTGGATCGTCATAAATCTGATATCGGAGAGTATCTTCCATTTATATATACGAGTATATACGTGGACGTTACGTATCTCGTTTCTATAAAGACCTTTTAAAACGTCGCACTATGTTACTAACTTCACTATAAATGCTAGTTACGTCTTTTATATTTATATTAAAATACTATATATTACATGTATAAAACATTTATTTGATGATTTGATTGATATATGATATAAAATAATATTTTTTAAAGTACAAATTTATTAGATTTTTCAAGCAAACTTATTCGTTTCTATTCCGCAGGACACGACTTCTGTAAACACATAAACCTTTGATATTTCAAACCGATTTCAAAAAAGGAGAAAAAATACTAATGTTTTTATGCAAAGCGAATTTATTTATTTTTATTTTACACAACATAAAGGTTTCTTTTAAAATAGATATATAAAACATTTGATATTTTCAGCCAACTTAAATACTTTTAAAACCAAGTTTTTCCATCCACTGCCTTATGACTGCGACCATTTTAATAGATATCATTTATTTATCAGTCATCAGTTATTTACTCTTCAAGGTCATTCATTTGATAACCATGTTAACAGAGTTGACAGAATATACGCCATCCGCCATCTTGTAACGGCGGCCATTTTGATAAATTACAATATTGAGTTTTGAATATTGCATTGTCATCAAAACGAAAAATATAAAAAATTCCAGTAGAATTAGTAGAAATAGATTCTACTTTAACTTGCAAGATTTGACCTAAACCAACTGACTAAAGTAACATTGCAAATTAAATTGAATATAATAAAAATAGAAGGTATTTGACTACAACTAGTCACGATGCCTTAGCTAATGGTCAATTTTATTGATAATTTTTTAATCGATAGTGTAATACAAGCATAATGGGATAGTCCTATACAAGTAGTTTTTTTTTTCTATTATTAGACTCCTGTGGAGTTGGCACCGTCTGATGTTGATAGTTTCTAAGCCGCCTTTATTACACATAAAGGCCTTTGACGTGGTGGTGGTGGTATCGAACGATGGCCTTACGTGCACTTCGAAGAACGAAGCAAGTGATGAATATTTTTAATTGACGTAAATATTAATTTAAAAAATTCAAAGGTTTAGGCCAAAATTCCACTTTCTGAGATGATTTAGTATATATAATCTCGGTTTGACTGAAATATTTTGATTCCAAATACTACTAACGAAGCATCAAAATAGTTCCAAGTATTATGTGGTCAATATAAGACTAAACTATTAATAACGTATAACTTTAATGACAGATTAAGAAAATAAAAGCGTTTGAAATTCGAATAAGTAATTATGTGATGTATGAGAGATGTTTTTATTATTCTTTCTATCCTCACAACAAACACGCGTGCGTGTCCCTTATATACCTACCATACTTAATTAACCGACTTACACAAACACGTGAAATGTAAACAATGCCAACTTAACGAACTCTTGTGACGCAAACGGCCGGCGTAGATATAACCCGAACATAAACATCGTTTTACGTTAAACGTTTAAAGTTAATAAGTTTTTGTATACTCGAAATAAACTCCTTACTTGCTACCTTGAATTTAATGGAACGTTATATTGTGGATATTTTATATTAAAGGTATAAAGTAAAAACAACAGCTGTCCATTTTCATTAAGTTTGTTGGGTTTATATCAATATAAATTAGGTTGTTTATTTATTGAAATTGTGTAACAAGAGTTACATTTTGTGCCAAGGGTGAAATGAGACGAAGTAAGCATACAAATGTTTTGTACCTACTCTGTGAATTTTTATTTAATGCAAATTCTAAGAGATGAGCAATGTTTGACGTTCTTCTTTGTTCTATTAATTTAAATCTAATATTTAAATCTACATGGATTGAAATACCTATACTATTATACTTTTTGGTGACATTTGTTCGTATAGTATTAATCTGGTCAAAATTTTTTTTTGTTACTCATAAATATATTTATAAATATTTATACATAGCTAATGTATTGTGTAAGTATCTTAATTATTTTAGATAGAAGCTGTTGATTCCAGCTGTAATATTAAAAATAAAATAAAAAAAAAATATTTCATAAAATATATATTCATAGGTGTAAAAAGGTTTTATTGTGTATGCTAGATAATGATGATTTTATACTCTTTCTACCGCCATGCAGTATGGCTGGAGTTTGAAGTTATAAAATATAGCACTGAAATTACAGGGTACAGAATTCCTTTCTCAGTTCTGTGGAAATCACAATGTACTCTATGTCTATGGATATATTCATATTTATTGGTGGCGGTTATTGCTTTCTATCAGGTGGGGAGTCAACTTTCCTGTTATTCCTGTTATTGAATAAAAAATATAATAAATAAAGTTACAATTATAATAATACTTACCAACTACATTCAAATGTATGAAATGACTCATATGTGGAGTCGATGATATTTGACATTCATATATGCCAGAATCTCTATGCTGAGGATATTTTATCTGAAACAAAATAGTATGTTTTAGATACGACTATATATACGATACGATACTATATATATATATAATATGTAATAGTATAGTATAAATTAATGGAATACAACCCAATTTTCTAGTCCGATGAACATAATAATATCATTTATTTTCACAAAATATGCCAGCAAATTAAATTATGCCTTTATTGCATGAATTTTATTCCTAAAAGGGCGGTAAAATCCCTAATGAGGCAGATATTCGATTATTTGTAATTTAAATAGTATAAACCTTAATAATTAGAAATAAATAAAGAAAAAAAAAACATTAAACGTTTTTAAGGTATGTTTAATTGAGTGCGTTAAAAAACAGAAATTAACTAAAAAAAGGACTCGAGACTTCGAAGGCTAGATACTTTTAAATTAATATTACTGTGAGGTCAATAACTTATCTCTTTCTCATTAATTTAGTTGTTGATTATACAAAAATAAAATATATCGTATTCATGGAAATTTAATTAATAAGGCTTTTAAATGAAAGTTGAATAGAAATATAACACAATGCAGACTTAACTAGGGGGAAATGCCATATATAGCATTCGGTATGCCTTTTGCATCATTTTTTTCAATGAAGTGGTCAATGAAGAATAAATGAATTAATAATGGCTTCCGGGTTGTCTAGTCTCAGTTTGCCGCATTATATTTTTATCTTTAATTTAAACAAAGTCTCATTAAAAACCCTTATACCTGTAGAAAGCAGCAGCGGGATCTTAAACTAATAGAATACTTTTATCCTAACAACGGAAGGACAATGTTGCAAGATATACGAGAAAATAGCTAAATGAGAAAGTTTGTAAATTTGTCTTGATGTTTCTTTCTTATTCACTCTCAAACGGCTGAATTGATTTTACAGATGAATTTTATCCTAACCCACTTATTAAAAAAAAAGTCGAACTTCTTATAAGAGAAGTTCGACGTTTTTAGGTTTATACCTTTTAGTTATTGAACTGTTTTGTCTCTTTCTTTTACACTAAATTCCCAATTTGAATAAAAGTGATAAAACAGTGTATTAGTTAAAGTAGAATCGTAAAAGATTTTAATTTTTATGAATAAGGGTGAAGTGTAAGTTCAGAGATTTATGATACAGATGTTATTATGTTATTTAAATGTCATTCAATTATACATATGAGATACTGTACTTTTCTTTCCTTAGTGAGCATATTGCGAAACTGTAAAGCTCACTCAGTGGATGAAATAAATAAATATATATTTTTTTTTTATAAATAATATGAATAGAGGATACAACAAGGTATTATTAAAAAAAAACTAACCTGTAAAGTCCAATCCTCGGAATGTGGCAAATGTATTGCCCGAAATCGTTGATCACTGGTGTATGTGTACCGTCCCACGGTCAGCAAATGGATGTCTCGGTGTCTCACCCACGAAACTTGCATATTTAACTAGAACAAATAACAAACATATATAGACATCGCATTAAAAAACTACTATGAACTCAAGTGAATCGAGGATAGTTGCCCCTGGAGTTGAAGCCGGGTAAATGGTTCCGCCCTAAGGCACACACCTAAACCCTCCTAGGAGGGTTAGCAGACATGTCGTCGTCACCATCGTTTTTATATGTATAATACAAACAAAAATAACTAAAAATAACTGCATAGCAAAATTCTATCCTTTCAGTACAAAAGAGTACGGGCTGAGAAATAATTTATTCATATTGTTTTACAGTCTATCAAGCTGAAGGAATAGGACTAAAGTTTATTTTTGTAACAACAAAGGTTCTTAAATCTATTTTAGGGTTTTCAACTATAGAACAATCGGGTGAATGGTACGCAAAATCTGTCACTACCAGTAGCTACTAAAATCTTAAATCATTTTCAAAGGCACAAAGATTTTAAATAAATACTTAAGAGATTTTTTAAAGTGAGATGCTTGTATGTTTTTTTACGCCAATAGAAAGAAAGAAGTATCAAACAAATGTTTATAATTATTTTTAAAAATTAATCAAAATCGATAGTTATTTTCGAATTAGTTTTATGTTTATTTTGTCATGATTAAAGTTACTGTTTTTATCTTTTTCAAGTAAATCTTGCGCGACGTATTTCATATATATATATATATATATATATATATGTGTCAAATATACACGCTTCGTAATTTTCATTACTGCATGTTCAAAATTTAAATATTTCAAACTATTTTTAATTTAACAATTTCTTCTTGTCCGGGCAACTTAATATTTCATTCTCAGTGGTTTTCTTATATGATATATTTTTATAGAAATCTTATAAGCTGTAATAAATTGCACAAATTTTTTCATCACTTATTCGCCTTATGGTGATCAAAAGCACTGGTATTTTTAGTTGATTACAACATGGAAAAGTTGCAGGCATTGCTTTTAAACTTTGCTTGCAACATATTTATTAAAAGTCATTCTTAACTTCTGCCAACTAACATATACAAATTCACAATAAATATTTCCATTAAAAAATCAGGAATGTAATATAAAACTGTTAAAAATCATGACCATGATGTTTTATTAAAGCAGGCAAGAATATCTCGTTTTAGAAAGTTGCAAATTTAATTGTGGTATCGAAATTTCTTAATTCAATCAAAACTTTGTTGGCGCGTCCGCGCGAGATGTGAATTGTTAGTAATCAAGGTACCGTTTTGTTACGATTACTGAGAATTAAAGGTTTATAGCGGAATTACAAAAGAATTGAAGTTCCTATTGGATTTGTGTGTTCACTTGAAAAGTCTGCGGATAGTTTCGAAGCTGTTACAACTATTATAAGACAAATATCGATGTTAAAATTGGGATTTCGAAATATTTTTCGGAAATAATTAAAAGTGAACTAAATCAAAATGAATTGTGGTAATGATGGAACTCATTTATCCAGTTTTACTAAATTGAAATGATTTAAAATATCTGACAGCGAACTGAATTGTTAATCACGCAATGTTTTTTATTAAACTATTATTGACTTATTTTAAAATTTTCAGAAGTAAAATAAATTGGCTCGTAATTGTTAGTTGTAGATTTATGTTCAACTTATTTTATGATCAACAATTTAGGTCGCTATTAGAGCATTTTTAAATGCTCAAACAGAAATATTGAATTAAGCAGATTTTTTTTTAATAGACAGACAATTCTGATATTGTTACATTTTATTAGGCCTCGTTCTGAATACTTTTAAGTATCTTTATATTTGATAAAAGAAGTAATTGAATCAGAAAATACATTATCGTTCAACTATTATAATAATGTGCATTTAGTTTTCTTTTTTTTATACTACTATGGCGTCAAACAAGTATACGGCCCGTTTTTTTTAAGGAACCCCATGCTGTAGTTTCTAGGGAAATTCTCTAATCTAATACCGAAACTTGAATGAACACAAACTGTAAAAGCACGTAACTTGTTTTAATAGAATGCTTTTTAAATTTGTCTAAGGTTTTGTTCCTACAAGTTTTCTTGTAATAAACTCTTTACTGTCAATTTTACAATTAATATTTATTAATATTCAATATAAATTAAAATTGTCAAATACGCATAAAATGTTAAAGCAGAATGCGCCTACATTCCGCTGTAACATTTTGATACACAATTATTTGTCGTACAATTTATGTATTTATACATAAATTATGTGTCATAGGTATAAATTTTTTAACCTATTGGTAGCGTTTACCCGCTACTTCGTCCATATGTTTACTGGCCGGGATAAAAAGTAGCCTTTACCAAATACAAATGCAAGTTATCTTTATTTTAATAGATTTATTTATAAACGCTTTTATATCGTCATCCTTTTCCATACTATATAGTACGTATATACAAAATTTAATAAAGATTCGGTAAGTCATTAAGGCGCTAAGAATTGACAAACAATCAAATTCACTTTCAAATTTCCAATAGTAGTGAGAATGACATTAGTTTCTCCATAAAATTATATATTACAAATAAATATGCACACACCCCTACCCAGCGTTTAAATATTCAATACCAAAGCGTTATACCTACGACCATTAGATCTCATTAGAAAATGCAGACCCAATAGGGAAAATGCGAGCTACTAATGGCGTATCTGTGTACTCTGGCTCTAACATTAGCATAACTAGTTCAAACATTTGTGCCTCCATTCCTAAAGTACTTGGGTATTTTTATTTCTATTAAGAATTCTATAATAGTTGCGTGATATTTGGTAACACGCACTCACCTAAAATGTCAACATAAAATTATAAAACCGGGCAATGATTCAAGTCATAATAAAAGTACGCAATCATTAAGCTTAACTTTCCCTGTAGATATTAGAAAAGGGCACACTAATTTATTTACTTTCTTTTATTTCATTACTTTTATCGTTGATATTATTCGTCAAGGTGATAGTTTTCAACACAAAAATTGCTTTGACAAATAACAATTTTTATATATTTAAAATTTACTTCAAAAGAGAGGTATTTTAAATTTGACTATATTTTTTTGATGTTACGTGATATATTCTTTAATTTTGTTCTCGAGTTTGATTTAACTAAATTAGCAGTAGCACAAATATTTGAGTTTAGAACATGGTATCGCATTTAATAAATTGAATAGGTACATATTGCTTCACAGTAAGCAATAAGAATGCTTAGAAAAGAAAAATAACTGCTCTAACCATTACTAAGATGATTGATGTTGATATAGAAATAAAGACTATTAATTAAAAAATATATAATTGTATAAAAAATGGTTTAGAATTTGTGACGTAATCGCGTAACATAGATAATTAAGAATTATTTATAATTATAATTATTGAGAACGGTTTAAAAGGAAAGAAATTCTAAATTCAAATATTTTTTGTCTATGTAACTCTAAATATTTGTTTATATAATACTTGACTTTAAATATTTATTTTTTAATTTTTAATCAATAGGGATATTGATTTCTAATGTTGGACAAATACAATATAGTCAACAATTTTGATTATGTTGATTCAAAATCATAAGATTTTAACACTCACTAAAATAACAGTAAACTGATAAAATGTAAGCTGGCAATTTTCCGGAAAACCATTTATATTAGTGTGGGATATTCTGAAATTCTACTCTCTAAAATTAGTGTATTGTGGAGAACAACAGTTCCAAATCAGTGCCATTGTACTCTAGAAGTGCATGCAATTATATTAGACCAAAATGTAATTATTATTATTTGAATCTCTAATGCCAATTGAGTTTTTATTATAATTGTATATTAAATCATTAACTACCATATCATAATTACCTGTTAATGTTTTACTTCTGGACACTAAGTAACATGGGACTTTATAAGTTTCCTATTACCAATCTTGGTGTAACACTTCGAGTTTTCTTTCATTTATAATATCCAGATGAATATTTATCGGTTACCATCAAAAATATAAAAGACTAGTCTATACTTATAATGTAAAAGGAAATATTTAATTTCTTTATGTTTGATAATTTGTAATAGATAAACTAAAAAAAAAATTTACTACTGATTTTAAAAAAATCGTTCACTTGCAGAAACCTATGTTATCATAGAGTAACATAGACTATATATTATATAGATTTAGAATCTAAATAGCAAAATAAAATGTTTAATTTTATGGCTATCATATATGCATACAATCCAATTGCACTATATTTTCCAAAAAGGAGTTTTTTAATTATTTTTAATCATCATCATTTAATTGAAGCATTCTTTGTATTAAATGTTACTGAATTTCCAAAAATCTAAATTGAGAATTATACTTAATTAAATAAAGCGCCGAATACCTATTCAAATGAACGAGAGAAAAAATAACCAAATGGTCAAGTAACTGAATGATTAGATTGATGATAATAATAACAAATATATTAAGTTTATCACAGTCTCGTTAATTAATTATAACAAAATAATCAAAGCATTAGCGTAAACAAATCTTCACAATTCAATTGTGCATAAGGATACAATCAAAACGCCACATTCATTCTTGTTTCCAACACTAAACCTTTCATTTCCCTCGCATTACTCTAGATAGAAAGAAACAGAGTTATCTCGTTAGCCCATCCTGTTATATATGTGAAAGATATGGCATCGCGGTCTAATGAGACTTTTATTTATAAAGTTGAGCTCACAAAAGGGACTTTAAAGTTGCATTGTGCTATTGTTACGTTTCATTTTAAGCGAGGAGTTTGTGGTATACCCGTACGTAAATTGGACGTTGCTTGTTGACTGTTGAAATAAGGGGGACTCGTTAGTGTTAGCGTGTACTCAACTCCTGCATATCTGTATTATAAAAGCGGGTGCTTACAGCAAGTGCGTCGTAGCATTGCATAATGTCGGGTTCTGTTTCGTAAAAGTATTAAATTCTGTAATAAAAGTATTTCATTGTCTAATAAAAGTATTTGATTTTGTAATAAAAGGATTACATTGTGTAATAAAAATATTTGATTTTGTAATAAAAGTACTTTGGTTTACAATCATTATTCTAAGTAAACAGGTTAGAAGGCCTACGCCGAATAGAATTGATTCTAGTATCTATATTATTTGAAACTAATGCGTTATAGCTTTCAGGAATATGGGGTTTAATTTCGTAATAAAAGAATTTTTAATTTGTATTAATTATTCAAAGCTGATAGATCAAAAGACAAAAGAAAAAAGACTTCATTTTAATATGTCTATTATAAAAGCAGCAGCATTATAAAATATGGGGTTCAGTTTCAGAGTAAAAATATTTCAATAAGTATCAATTATTCTAATTAAATAGATCACAGGACTTTAAATTAAAATGAAAATATATTTATGACTTTTCATTTATAATTTTTTGTTTTTATCGGTTTAGGGAGTAGTTTCAATAGTGCAGTTAAAAAAATAGGCAAAACATAATATTAATTCTAATATTGAATTAAATGCAACCGTATCGTATTTGAAAGTGAAATGATTGGTAATCTGAATTGAGTGAACTAAATAATGTAAATAAATGGAATACATGCAGCTACTGAATTATAACATTGATAATTAACTCACTGAACTGCCCTGGAGCTATATGTTGTTAGCAAGTAATCATTAATACTAATACAGTTAATTTATAGTAGGACACTATTATTGGTATATTTCGTTAAGTGCATAATTTCATTTGAAGACCTTGTTAATTTTAAGTTAATAAGACTATTTAAACTTACACAGTTCATATAAATATATAATTTTTTAAAATTTTCTGGTTGAGTTAAAAATATGATAGCTAACATATAACAATTAGGAATGGGAAAAAAAGGAATTCTCATAGAGTCGAATAAACTCTCTTCATTAAAAAGCACAAATCATTCTACTATATAATAAGTTAACGTATATTACAAAAAAATATTTTTGTTCCTTAGTTTATTTGATTCCTAACTGCGATTAAACCGCCCAATTAATCCTTATGAGATTTAGCATACTACTCATATTTGTAATTGAGCAGAAGATAGTCGACTTTTTTCTCAGTCAATCAATAGAGAGTATATAAATATATATACATATACATATATATATATAAAACTAGTTCAACCTTTTATCTTCAAACCATGTAATTGGTAAAATATTCTCTCAAGTCGTAGGTTAAATGAGAGTTCTTACAGTGACTTTAGACAGTACTAATTTCGACGTTCCCCGACTGCATTCATTCTGAAAAGTATTTAATTTGAACAATTCTAAGGATAAAATGGGTAATTTTCCTTTCTGTGAGAGAAACATTCGCTCTTATCAAGCAATTATGTATAAAATTGGTACTGGCAATGTCAATTAATTCCTTTTATTGAATCTAAGTTGACTTTACTTTCTTATACTTTCAAATATGCAGACATTGTTGCTGCTTTCAAAAATGATCCTAGTAATGCAATAAGATATGAAAACATTTTTCGTTTAGAATACTTTTTTTTATTTCTTCTAGTATTCTAATGTTAGCTACCCTTTCGCAATTTAGGTCCAAGAGGCCACAGATACAACAAATTGGAACGTAAAGCTAAGCAGCTCCTATCTACCTAAAACTACTCTAAGGGAGGAAAGAATTGTTAGTATAGGGGACTAGCGGTTACTAGCAATATACTCTGTTATGTTGACCTTCAGTTGGTCTCCTTGGAAACGCGAATTTGTGGTTAATATTTTTTTTAACTTAGTATGGTAAACACGTAGAAGTGAGCAATGTATAGCAATATCGCTATATTTTAGTTGAAATATCTATGTAAATAGTATGTTTTAATGTATTCGAAAATAGATATTCTACTGATATGGGCGATATTGAAATGAATGATGACCTTTTTTCCACCATTAATGTCCAGAGGAACATTATATATAAATATATCGGCTCGATATCCATATTAGCCATATCTACAAAGAAGCAGATACCCACCAGATAACCGATAACCGTTGCCTATAAACATGAATAGTATCAAGGACATAACAGCGTATATTATGTCTGTATGTAATTTTTGATGAATTTATCACGATAAACCTACTGACCTGCTTTCATATTTATCTATCATCCTTCACAGGTACCCTGCCAGCATATACCGATAACGCAGTTAAGTTTATTTCCCTTCCATTATCATCTATTAAAAAAACGGCTACTTTAATTAGAATGCAGCATTTAATACTAAACCAATAAAAACTGATTCTGATAATGGTGGTATAAAAAATAATTGAATACAAATGACTACAGTTCGATCAAACATACAATTATTACTGTGGCTTAACAGCTACAGTTCGGTTTTAATTTGTATAATAAAAATGTCATAAAAACAAAGATGGCCGAATTTCTGTTATTCCAAAATGAAAGATATCGTCGAAAGTTAATTACAGGCTGCGAACTAAGGAAAACAAGACCGACAGTAATAACAGAGGTGAAATAACTTATAAACGGTAGAATGCTGCTCGCGTGATCGCAATTACAGGAATGTAGGTATACCGACACGTATTTTATGAAGATGAAGAAGAATATTAAAATATTATAACTAACATTATAAATGAATGGCCGTGTGGTCTCGGCATAGAATGGGCCACCCCTTCCTTTCCCGTGACGTAGAAGGCGACTAAGGAAGGAAAAGGGATAGGCAGCAGCGTCTTAAAATGTGTTTAAAGCCTAACTGCGGTTGCCAATCTGCCTACCAAGCGTGGCAACTACTGGCACAACCCCTTTAAAGAGAGGCTCATGTTCAGCAGTGGACAGTTAAAATCTGATATGATGATGATAATTAATTGAATGAAAACTCTTTATTGCTCCCTTCAAAGAAAGTTAAGGATTGTAAATATTAACAATATGTACATGAACATAATGAATACTTAAGTACATAAAATGTAAATGTTTATTTGTTATCTTTTTTTTATGCAACTTAGAATGGCAAACAAGCTGACGGCCCACCTGATGGAAAGTGGTAACCGTCGCCTATAGACATGAGCAGTACCATGGACATAATAGAGTATACTATATCGCCCACGACACTCCTCATGCGTTGCCATTCTTGAGGACTTAGTTATTATTCCTCTGTACCCTGTAAAATCACTGTCATATCCCACCCTTCAAACCGAAACACAGCCATGCAAACATAACTGATTCACGGTAGAAACACAAATGGGACAGAGGTGTCCAAGCATACAACTTTTATACAAAGTCTCCCTCCGTCCCCTTACCTTATTTGGTATCTTAACGGCGTAACCAATGACTGTGAAATGTAGAATACATGGACTATATAGAATGGAGAAGGACACAGGCTACTCTTTGTCTTGGTCAGTGAACATATTCCGGTCCGGCGAACAAAGTAGCGGGTAAAAGCTAGTAATTCATATTAGATTCGTAAATATATCAATGGTTTTCTTTTAATGTTTTTATTTTATATAGAAGGTGATGTATAGAAATTATAACAGTTATAATACGACGTTACACTGTAGTTATAACATTTCTGTAATAAACTCGTATTTTAATTTAGATTTCTGTATACATTTTATAAATTATTTACATGTTCTTATCCCGCGAAGAATTGACAAAAAATTAAACATTTTTTAAAACATATTTCTCTTTAAAACATCAATCAACTTTATTTTTAAGTATAAAAGCTATATATGGAGTAAATTGAATAATTAAAGGGTGCCATAACTTTAATTCGGGTTTTAGTTTCTCGTTTTCTACAACTTTATCTTGTTATCCGTAGGGACCGTCCCAAAAGTAAGTAGAGCCATTATACCCTCGACACAACAAGCTTCAATTAAACATTTTGTCTATTATTGTCTTTCCCGACTTATGACTAATAATTTAAAATTTTCACATTCATATTTTAATTTTTTGTGTATTTAGACTTTTATTTTTTTTATTAAAAACTGTAGTCTAAATAAAGACACACAATGAAAACATTTCAAATAGTATAATTGTATGATTCACTTTATTTTAAATAAGAGAGTCACTTTATATTTCTAAACAATTTATTTATTTCTTTTACATCCTTGCAAATATTTTCGTGTGATACCGGCATAGAATTGACCACCCCTTCTTTTTCTTTTTCATGAATGGTTTTAAGAAGTGACTAAGGGTATTTAATGGTCGAAGGATATGCAACAGCGTGGCCCTTAAAACGTCACCAAAAGCCTAACTGCGGTTACCAATCTGTCTGCCAAACTTGGCAATTACTACAAAAAAACGTGAAGAGTTAACACCGGATATGATGATGATATGAATATTAAAAAAAATATACTTACAGTTTTATTCCCTAAATTCTTGACCCGGCAATTCAAATAAGCAGTCTTGCCAAGCAGCGCGGTGACATTCTTGGATGCCACCAGGTCGAAGTACGGACCTGTGCGGGGCGTTGGCCGCGGAGCATCCGCGGGGGCTGCCCCTGGCCGTATGGCATTGTCCACAGAGCCAGCTGGGGCCACCGTCGCTGAGGCATTGGTTGGTGTGCCTTTACCGAGTTCTCTTTGGGCTGACGATACTGTAACAAAAGAAAATTGTTGTAATTAGCATTGTTTATATACATATAATAAAAAATATGCCTTCTACACACAGATTTCTTTAAAATCTCATCTCCGCATTTAAATGTAAAGCAAAAATGTTACTAAGGGTACTCTGTACCTTACCTAGGATAATAGCAAGTAAAAATCTCATCCACTTGTTTTTGTTCCAAAAAAAACAACTAAGTACGTTATATTGATTTCAAAATGAATTTACTTAACCGATTTTAATATAACTTCTATAAAGCCAATCTGTAAGATAACGAAAGAATTTTCCAAGTAAGTTTATAATTAACAGAGTTATGAAGTAAGAAATAAAAAAAAAAAAACAACCGAACTGAGAACCTCCTTTTTTTGAAGTCGGTTTAAAATATAATATATAAAGGGTATTATATTTATAATATGTTTTATAGAGACCATTTTAAAATGCCTCCGAATGGCTATCCAAATTTAACTTGCCGGTATACCTGTATGGATTAGCACGCCAACTTTATTATACCAGTTTGTTCGCATGGAAACTTCGTAAAACCAATCACGTGTAAGTGAACATCACTTCAGAGCCCGCGTGACGTCATACCCACTGGATACATGAACGCCGATATAGGTTTATTGGGAGTGTCTGATCTTTAGTAGGTATTATCCACTAATGTGATCAGTCAATGTTCACCTATAAATATCATGGTATTATCATAGTTCGAACTTATTATTAGATTTCCGTCGTAGGTCCTCATTTTTTCCTATTACTAACTTTAACCCAGGACTTTGCCCACGTGACCGGGATATGCTTATCGATGCTTATTATTCTGCATTCAAAATAGTATGCATGTATATACCAACAATAAAAGCATATGAGTAATATGACAGGAAAGTTTTTTTTTTAATTTTTCTTGTATTTTTTGCTAATGTTACAACATAACGACTTAAATTTATGTATTATGAAAATATACATAATACCTTATATTTGAAAATTAACATTATTAATTCACTAATTAAAGTCATCTTATTCAGGTATATTGAGCATTACAAAATTATTGGTGCATAATACAATCAGATTACGGAACTTTCCCAATAACTCTTCCGTACACACCTAAGATTGTTAAAAGTTTGTTTAGCCTGTCGTGGCTTTATGTCCTTATCATAAAATATTAATAGTTTAATTTTATTTAACCGATAATAAAATATTATAATACTGCATTACTATGCAATGTTATAACAACCTGCTATAACAGGCGGAAACAAATAACACAATGTAAACTAGGTCAAAGTAATAATCGAACTCAATCTTATCACGGCTTCCATTTTGTTAGAAACAGGATACATAGTATATCCTCTGCATATGTTTTTTTATAACATAGGGGGCAAACGAGCATACGGCTAGCCTGATGGTAAGTGACTAACGCTGTTCATTGGCACACGCAATATCAGAGTAATTCCAGGTGTGTTACCGGCTTCTAAAGGTTTCAATGGTACTTTAATCAGCGTTATTCTTAATTAAAAAAATTAAAAGAAAATAAAAAAAAAATATTGTCACTTCTTGTTACGTTATACTTCTTTAACTGCGACGGTTTATTATCAACTTCGAGGGGCATTTCACAGCGGATGGAAATAATTATTAGAACTTTAGTACAGCGCTGGAATTTATTTATTACAGCAGTTATTATTATAAAGTTATTACTTGTTGTATGTTAGGAATGTTCAGACATTAATATAATAAAAACGTATTTTTGAAACGTTTAAAAAAATAAGTATATACAAAACAAATTTTTATACTACAAAAAAGCATCAGTTCAGCAATGAACAGACAGCGAGTGAACTGTATTTAATAAAATAAATTGTAAGGTCGGTAAAATGAACATTTACAAATTCCTTTTCAAGTCCTTTCTTCACTTTTCTTTTTTTTATTTCTAAAACCTGATAGTCAAATAGCAAGTTTCTCAGTAGTTTTGCTGTGCTACAGAGATGAGTCAGGTTATTTCTTTTTACTTGAAAGTCTATATTATTTTTAATAATTTCATTCTAAATATACTATATTTATAGACTCATAAATTTATTCTTCGACTTCATCTTATCTCTTGAAACCTTTTTTTTTCTGTAGATTTTTAATATTCATAATTATATAGGGCGAAGGCCGAGCGGGAATGACACCGTGAAATTGCGTTGTTTCATTAATTCTCATTTTCGCTTAGTCTTCAATTTAAAAATAAAAAAAGAAAGCAAATAGTATATTATTCATGTAATTTCTTGAGTAATTTCTGCTTTTATAATATTGTCCTCTATATATTAAAAAAAAAAAAATAATGAATCTGCTATTGTAATAAAAGCGAAAACAAGCAGAATAAAATATTTTAATATTAAAGAAAATGTTAATATGAAATCTCTAACGTTATTCTCAAAATTTTGTCTTTAAAATGAAAGTTTTATTTTCTGAGAACAAACAATGAAAAATATATTATTTTATTTTTATATTAAAAATATACAATGAACTATCATGTAGTCCATAAACTTTTATAATACATCTTTAAATTCAAAACGAATTTGAGTTTTATAAAAATATTGCACAAAATAATGGCTCACTAAATGAAAAAGGACCTTAATCTATAGATATAGATCTATGTATTATCATGAATATTATTTTATTTATACTGTGTTACCCATGATGCCTCTCATGTGTCACCATTGCTGAACGTCAAGACATTAAATTCAAATTAAAACATACATTTTTGGATAGGTTGAGGTACGAGTATAATGTTCAAAACCAACCCTAATATCTAAAAAACCTTACTAAGTTTTTTTATAAATCTCCAAAAATATAGGTATCTACATTAAAATAATGTGTTCGCTTAGTAATTTGATACAATACCATCGGAGTAACACTGAAGGCCGTTCTTCCTTACGTTTCTAGTGCCCACCCAAATATAATATTTGTTTTGTTTTAGCCGATGCCATATTTCCAAGTGCCCTCGCTACTAGGGTCTGTAAGAAACATTTACCAAACTAATGGCTGTAGGTAACTACCTACTGTTGTGTCGAGCTTGAGTAAACATTACTCTTCTACTCAACACTTGCGAGATATATTTTTTGCTTGTTGTATAATAAAAAAAAAGAAAAGCTGTATAATTTTTTTCTTTATGCAATTTAGAAAAATGAAATATAAGCAGATGGTCCGTCACACAGAAAATGGTAACCGTTTTTTATTAAATAAAAAACATCGTGGATAACAGAGAATAAATACACTGTGAAGCCCTAAGTATTCCTTATATGTTACCGTCCCTGAAAACTAACATGTTATGCATGCGTTTCATGTAATTTTACTGTTATGTTACTGTTATATCCTTTAAATCCAACATCCATCCACATCCACCATCCACGTATATAAATCCTTCTGCTTCTTTCAGGCAAAGGTTTTTGTTTGTTGCAATGTATGCAAGCATATCTGCAGCTTACAAGAAGTTTTATTATAAAGTAAAACAAATCTATTTTTTATAATTAAACTAATAACTTAATATAATAAATAAACAATATCTATAAAGTAAAGACTATTAGCTAGTCTATGTGTCTATGTCTGTCTATTTTTTATTAGTTCATCGCTCTTGGCTGCATTCCAAACTTTTGATTGTACACTGCATTTAAAGATGGAACTAAGTTGTTTTCTGTTTCATTAAATTAACCAATAAAATGGTTTTAGTATTTACGTCACCTTAGAATTTTATTATCTCTGTAAAAACAATATATGTAAGATATAAAAGTATACATTTTACTTTACTATGATTTAATATAATAAATTTATATTAATTTATGTTACGTTTTTATTTTTATTCACAAAACAATTAGCCATAGTGTTATGCTCGCGTGATTTCTATTAATCTGGGTAGTTTAACCTTCTAACTAAAATCCGTCCAAGCAGTTCATTATTCTAATCGACAGGTCACCTAGTTTTAACAAAAAAAATATAAACAAAATAAATGTAAATAACTAGAGTTCATTGTACATTATTTTTATAAATAAATTTTCTCCTTTAATTTTGTATTAATACTATAAAATATGAAAAAAATTTTTTTTAAATTAACGAATGAACTAACTCAATTAAACTTAAGGAAGATTATTCCCTCAACAGATGAAAATTACCATTATAAATAAATGCTTTTAACTCGCTCTTAATATGTTTTGGTTTGGTTAACGCATTTTGAAACTATTTATTTATTATTAATATATTTCTGAAAGTGTTCGCTTTAAAATATATAATAAACATATATTATATTTTCCAATACCGTATTTAAAAAGTAATTTAAATATTGATACACGAATTTGATAACTATTTCAAGATCATAGTATATTTTTACATTTTTAGTAGATATATATTGTATATATTTACTTCCATAAATTTATACTTTTTTAATGAATATGTTAATAAAAAAGAACAGAAAAAAATTAAGAAAAAAATATTGTCTATTTAGACTATATTTATTTATACTTCCTTTAAAAACATAATGTAGACAAACGTCGTCGCTACCGACAACGTTAAAGAGAAAAAAAACTTGTCCCAGATTTTTCTCCGATAGTTACCACTTTCCTTTTGCTCGACGCTAATAACATACATGATAATAAAGTAGAAGGCCGCAGGGCGTTGTTATTGTCGGTGGTATTGAATATCACAAAATGGCGACGTAGGAGGGATCGAATGGAACAAAACACGAACGCCGAACAACGGGGAAGGGTTGGCGAGGGAAATTTTATAGAGGAAACCCTAACATATTTTTACAAGCAACGTTCAATGTGAAAATATCTCAACTATATTAGGAAGTATATGCCTGTGAAACCAATAAAATATAGGAAATGTAGCAGCATTTATTTCAGATTGTTCTTTGTTGGAGAGACTGTTAAATAGTACCTTGTCGTTCGTTTACACTGAATGTATAAATGCGATAAATTGTGACACATTAATACGAGTACTATCGACAATAACAGCAATCCAATATAAATA